AATTACTACAAAACATGGTAATTGTTGGATATATACTCTGACTACATGTTCTAAAAATTGCTATATCTATGGTAATCTAATTTAAATATTGGAAATTTTACTAAATAACATAATTAAATTTATACCATAATCCATTTAGTAATTATTACTAAAAACACGATACAGGAGATCAACTCGGAAAATCTTACTGTGTCCACATCAATTTTTACTGTTTTGGCCGAAATAAAGTCAAATGATTAATTGATTGATCAAATTAATTAATTTTGAAAATCCTTCTTTGGAGTAGAGCATTTATAATTGATCATCAATACATTGCCATTATTACCTACACCTGTGTATATTGCGTATATTACCTATTTATTAATGAAATTTATTTATCTTCAACGTGCAGCAATCAGACTGACATTATTTTTATACAGTAATCAAATATATTTTATTCTGGCGCTTACGAGAATTAAATCGTCATCTACATGTGGCTCTTGTAAATTAGCATTGTGCAGTTACTATTGGATACGGACTAGAGATTTCAACTCGGCCCCACTAATTTTAGCTATCTTTATTATGAAAATTTTTCCAATTATAGTAATGTGTAGATATTTTAACATATACAATTAAATATTTAAATAATTTAGTAACATAATATTTATTATGATTTCTTATAACGAAGTTATCAATATCCTCATAAAAATTAAGGTCATAGTAAAAATTAATAAATATTTAAATGAATTCGATAATGACTCGAGAGTATATCCACGATTACAATGTTTTGTAGTAAATTTTATTGCATCTATAGTACATTTTATTATAGCAATTCTCTCAGTGTACAAGTGAGCACAGAGTTTGTTAGAATATTTTTGCATTATTTGCACTTTAAGAATAACTTTTTACTATTTGCATAATGAGACGGTAAGAGGTGTATCGTGTAGTTCCTCCCATGTAGACGAAAACGTAAGCGCGCAAATAATTAAATTCAAATATAAATAAAGAAACACATTTAGTGTGCCTAGTAAAAATATTATTGTACCACAATCATGGGCATGAATTGACACACATTATGTGTATGTACAGTGTGAGAGCTTTTATTGTACCTTCAATAAGTGACGTGTACAGCGCAATATAGTATATATAAAAGATCGTACAATCAAGACTCTCTCGGTCCATCTCTCGATACAAACAAATGGTCTCGGTAAATTCTCGTATTCGCTAGAAAGAAAAAAGAAGTTTAGCCAACAAGCCGAATGGTTTCTCTCGTACCCTTATCAGTTGAGCGCATATTCAAAGGTGCGTCGTAAAAGATAGCCATTCTCGGAGCAAGCCTACCGTGGGCCAAATAATTTTCCATTCTCGTCTCTCTCTCTCTCTCTCTCTCTCTCTCTCTCTTTCGCGTCTGGTAATGTGGAAAATGACAATTAAAGTGACAAGCGCACAACAGGCGTCTGCGAAATGAGTCGTCGGAGCGAGCGAGGGACGATGGCAGCCGGTTCTGATGGCTGCAGGCACTTGTCTATTTCAGCGTGGCTGCTGCTGCGAAACAACGTGGACGCTTACGATGCCGCTATTCCTCGCCTTTTTCTCAATGTCACGGCTATATAACGCGGACTCGCGCGCCGCCGCCGCCGCGCGCTTACACTGGCACCCATCCAAGTCACGATTCACGATCCTATCCTGCGTGGATAGTCACCTCGAAGGGAATTTATTTCGCTCGAACTCGAGTGTCGACGCCACGGCATCCAGACAATGGCAACTCTGCTTTCTCGCGTATATAGAAATAAAATTGTTCGCGCAGAATACATCGCGGCCGATGTATTTATACGAGACAAGTGGATGTAGCCATTCCGAGTGTATTATGTTGGATGTTACGTACACTCTTTCCTCTCTTTCCATCTTCTTATTCTCTCTCCTGTTATGTCCCTTGTTTCATCGGCTTCATTTGATGCCGTTCAAATTTCCCAGATAGTAGACATTTCCATTTACGATGATTTATTCGTTTACTACTATTTTACGATCGCTGTGATGCTTAGATTAATGAGTACTGTTATCATTAGTAAGCCATTTATTGACAATATTAAGTATGACATTACAAGCAGTATCATGAACCGTCGATTGTACATAAAAATGATATGTAAAAATAAATGATCGATAAACCAGTTTGAAAATTCATTTGTACATATACTCAAAAATAGTACTCGTATTACTTGAAGCAAAAGCGATTCGTTGATATGCTACTCATGATTCTAGTGAATTCCAGTTTCATTTCATTATGATATTAAACTTGTGAAATAATAAAATAAATTCTGGACTATACATTCCACTCGTATAAAAGCTCTGGCTGACTCGAGCTCGGCTTGTTCTCGAGTGATAATTGTTTTGAAATGCACTCGAGCGCCCGGCGCGAGTAAGCATGCTACTTGAAAATGTTACATTTTTCAAATGCCTTATTATTAGATTTATCCAGCTATTTCTCTTCTCGAAATTATCGAAAAAATGTAGAATCAGTCAGTTTTATTTTTAGAAAATAACGAAAATATAATATACGAGTAATACAATGAAATGGATTTTGTAATTTCATCGTGTTTAGACTGGTACCAACTAAAACCCAGTCAATTGATTGTTCGTTAACTTTCTCTCATAGACTATTTTACAACAAAGTTCTGAAGAAGCATTTTGTATCCTATAAGAAAAAGTATTGAATGCAAATTAACATAGTAATTTTTACTATGGAACGTAGCATCATAGGCCACAAATAAAATTCCTGGTAAGCAGTGAAATACAGTTACAGTTAACATAAAGCATAATATATTTTACTATATTTTACAAAGTGAACGGCGCTATAAAAATAATCTTTTACAGGAATAATTTATTATTTGGAAAAGGGCAGATAGACAGTGGAAAAGAACCATTTAATTAGAGAATTGACTTGGAGGATGAATTAGTCAAGTATTCGTAAATCAAATAGCGACAGTGCGGGTAATTTGGCTAAAAACTTGGCGGGCGAGTTTGCGAAAGTTTTTTGCAAGCTGGTCAAAGCGAAAGCGATCCCGGCAGCGAGCGAACGAACGAGAGGCTCGCTTCTAAATATTCAGAGGGACGAGGGAGGGCAAGGCAGTACAAATGGGCGCTCGGTTCACCATGAATTTATAAGGGTATTACCGCTTGCGCGCTCTCGTGCTCTGGCTGCACTGGTCAGCTACGTACCTACGGCTGAAAGGGACAGCGGGGAAATCAGAGGGGAGATAGAAGGACGGCATTGATGTAGGGTCCGCGGGGCTGGGAAAAAACACGCAGCATGCCGAAAACAAGAACTGCCCGAGCGGGCGGCTGCGTAGGTGTAATTATAGCGCCCACGGATAAACTTAATTTATGACTGCGAACTCAAATAACAAGTGCGAACTGATCATTTTGTTGGATTAATACTGGGCGATATTGCGCGAGGTTCGATTACGCGCTCTCATGAACCCGGAATAACTTGGAGCTGCACCGACATTCCATGACAACCCTTTCGTAATTCTCGCAGCTCGCGCATTATGGGAAGTCACGTTCGCGCCCGTGAAAAATCGTAAAATGCTTTTTTATTTATCAGCAAGTAGCTACAGAAAAGATAATTGATCGTTTGGCTCGAAGTAAGACTCCGTTCACGCACACACAACAGGTTCGCGCGCGCAGTGATATTAGCGAGGGAGTAGGCAGTAAATATGCCACGGCGGGAGTCCAGCGAAGAAAAGCGGATGGCAGCAGCAGCGGCAGCATTATGGCCTGTATGTACACCACGCGACTAAGAAAGTAGCCTGGCGCGTTATGGCTAGTAAATTAAAGAAATAGCGGGACGGAATCGCGCACGGAGAGAAAGCAAATGTACGGGGGCTAACAGGCAAAAAACAGCGGCCAATGCAGCAGACTGGAATGGACGGCCTCCTAAGTGGACAAGATAAATAAAGAGCCAAGGCAAACGCTCCACAGGGCCAAGGCTTTTCGATAAATCTCTGATAGCGCGATTCAACTTCTACTACTACTGGCAGCAGTGTACGCCGGCTACGGCTCACCGATTCCGCAACGATCATCTTCGCAACCACCAAATTAATCGTGCAACTTCAGCTTCAACTTTATTGCGCGAGTGCTTCGGTCTAAACTATTTCGGTGTGCATGTTGCTTTCATTTACGCGGGAGAAATTGGCGGAATATACATCACCTAGACGCTTCGCGAGCCTGCCAATTAGAATACACTTTTGACATTTCCCAATAGACCATGGTATTTCATTGTCGCTCTGCTGCCAAGCCCTCTGATTCGTTTTCTTCGAATACATTCTTAAATACCAAACATTTCGTTTTACGAAAAAAACCGAAAACCCCTTTTGAATTTCCCGCACAATTCAAGTGAATAGTCAACTTATTGAAGCAAAAAAATATGGCATAATTAAATATAACGACATTTTTTTATGATCCACTTTCCCCTGAAGGCTTCTTTATACTTAAGGAAATATATATGCACCGCAAAAATGAAACTTACTAATTTCGGTCAAAAAAAAATTGAAAAAAAAAAAAATTAATCATAGAACTTAATATTCTGTTCAGGCTAAGAAAATTATTGGCAGTACATTTTAAATTACGAATATTTCCTCTAATAATGTAATTAATGCAATTTACATCAGATTTCAGATTGGATTCTTTTAAAGATGTAAGATAAGCAAATAATTTAATTTGAAATTTTACATTATAATTAATGAATATATACCATACGTTAGTTTCTTTTTTAAAAGAAAAACTTTTGAGAGAATACAGAAAATAATGATTTTATAAATGAACTGCGTTGACTACTTTAATTAATCATACAAATCGAATTGTCTTATCATGACAAATATTTATCAGCGATATTTGAACTAAGTATTGGATCAGATAAAAAGTCAGTGATCGTAATTTTTGCTTACCAAATAAAACAGCTCACTGGATCAGTAACGATATTAAATCTGAATCCCACGTAGTTGATCGAATTAAATATTAGCAATATGGACTGTAAAACCATTATTTTTGTGATACTCTTATCGGTAAGTTTATTATGTTTCCTATGATAAAAATATCAATTATGTAATTTCGAAATACAGGTAACGGCAGTAATTATACCATTTCAATGGATTTTGGAAATATGGTCGGATGAATGTGTGAATCCAACATATCGCATAGGAAAAAATTACAACCCTTCGTAACTAAAATATTTGTGCTAACTATAATTAAAGTAAATCCTAACAATAATAATTATAACGTAATATCGCAGGAGCGGTCTGAAAGCTTTTAAAGACAAATATAATCCTATAGATTTAGGGTTAGATAATTTTGATGATGAAGCACCTCGACACATCATTGAAGCTTTGGTTAATGCCACAATATCTAACGATCCTGCTTACAATCAATATATGGATGAAAATGTAAGAAAATTAGTTTCATTCAATTAAAAAACTGTTACTTAAGAAAAACGAATATGTAACAAAATATAAACATCTGTAACATGGACAAAACAATGACGCGTATTTCACCGTGAAGGGACTACCAAAATTGAGACAAGCTATTGCAGAATTGTACTCACCCTTGATCGATCAGCAATTGAATCCCGATGAAAATGTATTGGTGACAGTAGGTGCAACCGAGGCTCTGTATTCGGCGATCACAACACATACAGTTGTAGGTGAGGAGTGGCTGATAATCGAACCGGCTTATCATATTTATTTACCGATTGTCAAACAAGCCGGAGGCGTTGCCAAATTCATCTCGCTGAAATCGGTAAGCTATTTCACGAAGCTGAGTGTAGTTTCGGGAGCAGTTTATGAATAACCGTTAGTTAATTACAGAATAATCAGGATGATATCATAAAAGGTGAGGATTGGAAGTTGGACAAAAATGAATTCGAAGGATTGATCAGCAGAAAAACGAAAGGGATAATACTAAATAACCCACAAAATCCGATTGGGAAAGTATGGTCTCTGGAAGAACTTCAGTTCATCAGCAGTATAGCTCGACAGTACAATTTATTGATAATCAGCGATGAAGCACACGAATGGATCACTTTTAAGCCGCATATCAGAATAGGTATATCCATCGTAAAAGCGCTGTATTTCAATAATAGTCAATGGCCATTAACAATGTCCACGTTTTTAGGAGCATTACCAGGATTATACGAGCGCACGATAACCATAGGCTCGGCAAGTAAAACATTCAGTTTGGGTGGCTGGAGAATTGGATGGGCTTACGGTCCTAAAGATCTTCTTGATCCCATCAAGTTACTTCATATGAATGTTGTGGATAGTACTCCTGCACCTCAACAGGTAATATGGAATGATGATCGCCTTGAAAACAAATAACAATTGTTGATGTAATACATTGAGGTTTATACAGGTAGCTATAGCATTCGCCTTCGAAGAAGAAATTCGTAATTTTGGATCGCCTAACTCCTACTTTACAAAACATCGAGAATACGTCAGAAATCATCGTGATATGCTCGTTAACGCTTTCATTGACGTCGGCTTGAAACCGGTTATTACAAGCGGTGGATTTTGCACCTTAGTCAATTGGACTTCTATCAAAAGTAAACTGCCTCAAATGAGCAAGTCTATGGATTTTTTGGTATGGTTGATAAAGGACATTGGAGTACTAGGTTTCCCAGGAACTTCGTACTTTAGTGAAGAACATCAACATATTGGACAGGATTATGCCCGATTCTGCTATCACAAGGCAAGTCTAAGATATTTACAGAAATTATTAAAGAAAAAATTATGAAGTGGTAATAACAGCTTTATCTTTTGCAGAACATCGATACACTTAAGAAAGCGGCACAAAGATTAACAAAATTGAAAGGTTTCTTGTAACTTATGACTTTATTTATTAAGTCGACAAAATGAATAGGCTTAAAGATGATAGAATTTAGACTTTATATATATATAGTGATTAAATATAAATGACAAACTACTTGAAGTAATAGCAGAATATACAAAAAAATCTGTGAAATGTTTTGTAAATGAAAGTACACCGTAAATACAAATATACAGTTAAGTTTTTCAGCCCAGGTGTTCGTATCAGATGCATACGTGCAGGGGATACTCAATCTGTAAATACGTAGCGCAAGCGCGAGAAGCTGAAGAAGCTCCTCGACAGGATGGGACGCTATGGTTCTACTCGGATGTACTGAGTTAAATCAACGAAGATAGACGCCTCCGTCTTCATTGATCGAATACAACAGAGTATGAATTATCCTTGGTCGTATGCCGCTTCTCACCACGCAAGGCCAACGTCAGCGGTCGGAATAGTACGGTAGTATATACAATGGCGTACGACACTGTATATACTGATTAACGGTTACCTGCATGTAAATCCGAATACAGCAAAGGTTGAAATAATTATTTATGTGTCTTGTTCTTGGGCAAACTAAGTACTAGTATGGTATATAGGGAAGATTTATTTAGCATGGGACAGTATATAAGTTGAGGTACTTGTTATTTCACACTACAAACATTCTCCGACGTACTCGTATTTGGTTCATCCAATGCCATATAAACCAGGCATATAAATAACGATTTTCAAGCATATCTCTGCTACACTATCAAAATTGAAATAAGTACCAAGTTAATGCATTCGAATTAGTGATTAAAAATTTGTTTGCTTAGATAATAATTTTTTAATTAATTCATTGCAAAAACAGCTACCGGTAGTGCTAGAAGTACACTACAGTAAATCACAAAAGTTGATCATATATATATAATATAAATATTTTTCATATTCGTAGAGAAAAAGACACTTCAATATTTATCAAAATTAAATAGTTCGGAAGCTTATCTTTATTGTTCTTACAACTGTAATACATTTATTAAATTTGAAATGCAGATTACAATATATACAGTACATTTTAATATCACTTCTTTTAAATACAATAATTTACAGCTTATAGACAAGCAATGCGCCCTTTTGCAAAAGAATTGTTCTCTTTATCTATTTACAATAGTACAAAAATGGTCTATATTACAATTTGAATACAATAGAAGTACGGTATATTTATAGAAATGTATTAAATGAATAAAATAAAACACGTTTAGGAGTGAACACTTAGATGTAAAAAAAAAATTGATGAAATGACTTTTTACAGAAAAACCAAAAATATATCAATAAAATAAATCTTCTTGAAAATTAGATGGTTTTATTACTTTTAGCCATATTGTGTGATGCCCAGTTAAGCGAGGTTTTCCAAGAGTTGCAAAGGGCTTCGTCAAATTTACTCCTGAAATGTTTCTTAGCTTCAGTCTCCGACATCTCGAGAACGAGCGTGTCTCTTAAATAATTCAAATCTTTTTCTGATGATAGCTCGGGTAGACCCGTCGAGATCATCATAGCGAACAAGGACAAAATAAGACTGCCGTGTCGTCTCAATATTAGAAATGCTTGTTCACAATAATTCTGGAATCGCTGGAACTCCAAGGCTTGGCCCTTCTTGGTCTGTCCTTTATTGATCACGTGCACGAAATCATTGGTTAATACGAACGGCACCCTCTCCCGGCGAATCCCGAATTTCTCTTTGAAGTGTCCTAATATGTGACCAAAGTCTACGTGAAACAGTTGACCAGTCTTCTTCACCATGATGTTGTCGGAGTGTCGGTCGGCGATGCCAAGCACGTAGGTGGCCACGCAGTAGCCCGCGCAGCTCAGAGTGAATTCTTCGATGGCCTTATTTAAAGTTTGCTCGGTGTGATTGTGATCCTTTAGCCAGGCAAGAAGCGAGCCTCTTCTAAAGGCGGCAGTTGCCGGAAACATACCCTTTTCCTTTTGAATGTTGGCGATCGTCTCGGCATTCAAGACCACTTCAATAAGGCCAACTCGGTTGTCGGTGGATATGCAACCGTAAGGATTCATACGCAAGTCCAGCCCTTCTTTCTTCCAAAGTTTATCCATTATTCGGAGCATTTGCAAGGTGAGCATATCTTGTCGGAGATCGTCACCGTGCTTCAGAATCAAATATACATCGTCGCCGAAAGTATCAGCATTTTGAAACACCAGGCAGAGCGGTCTCATTTTGCTGTCCATTACACGGCACTTTTCTACTCTGATGCCCGACCAGCGAAAACTTGGATTCAACGGGCTGACGACGTTGATGAAGGCTTCTTTGAAGTGGCCGTCTTTCAAGTACTCCAACAAACATTGCTGAGCAGCCTTTCGATCTTTACGCTGCTTCACTTGATCGCACACGTTCGCTAATTTCTCTAAGCAATCCATCTGCTTCGATAAAACTCTCATGTGCTCCTGACTACCTCGACAGTAAGCTTCCAGAATCAAGCCGAAACGCACCTGCACTGAGCCCACGTGCATTTCTGATCGCAAGTGCCAGAATAAAAAATGACCTATGCGTTGATTACTAAGTGCACGTCGCAATAAAAACTCCGTCAACTCACACCACAAGTAATTTTCGTGCTTGAGAGCTTGAACCAATTGCAACAAGAACAAACTTAGATCTTCGTCGCTAACGTCTCGCAAGCACTTGACGGCAAAACTGCGAACTATTTGATCGGCGTAAGCGTAATCCAGTAATTCGAGAGCCCTTTCAACGGCTAATTTTGGCCAACGGAGAAGAAGAGAAGTTGCTTCGGCAACTTGCTTGTGATCGTTCCAGTCGACGCACTGCAAAAGTTTCGCTAGAATAGTTGGCACTTTCATGATACACTGCTCCCTCATCGACCAAATACTTTTTATATCCTGCTCGTGAAGCTCGTGCAATGGATCTCGATCGGCTAGTAACTGAAGTTGATCGATTCGCTGCTGCAGATCTGTGTCGGAAACACTAGTAGGATCGAATTCCGCTGAATTCTCCCTCGACTCGTTTAATTTGTGAACAAACTCGAGCATTTTTTCAGGCGACGGATACAGAATTATTTGATCCCTTGTGTATGTCGGAAAAGTCAACATCAGTGCTGCTGCTCTGTCTATGTGAGGATTTGATACAACTGTGCCTAGTGGATGCAGTAAGTCTTCGTTCTGGATGTCTTCAGCATAAGCCCATGTGTAAAGAGTCGTAGCGCCAGTTTTCAATTGACATTTGTAGTCATATATAGTCGTATTTGCCCAGCATAGTGGATTGATAAAGTATTCTTGTTTAGAATCTTTTACAAGTCTACGACTTTTAATACCTTTCGAAGTTTTTCCAACTTCATATAGAACAAAGCACAAACGAGTATTTCTTGGAATATCACGAATTTTTATATTGAAACTTAAGGTCTCTTCCCACTCGCAATTTCCATCTGGACCAACCACTATATCTTTTGTTTTTTGACTCTCAGCCAGAGATTTGCCACCGTGAAACACTCCAGCTTGCAAGCCAACTTCCACTGTACGATTACTTGCCTCACAATTCAATCGAGAAATACCATTAACGACAAATTTGAAATTATCATCAATATACCAGGAGTAGGTATATTTGCCTTTCTTACGCAGTGTCAAAGTTGAAAATGATGGTCTGTTGCCACGGTTCAGTACATCAGAATCAGGATCCTCATAATCATGATCTTTATAAACAGATATACTATTTATACTAACAGCTACGAGTGTAGGCACAACATCCTTGGCAATGCAATCTTGAATATAGCTGTATTGAATTAATGGATAATCTTCTAAAAGGTATTCCTCTTGACCACAAATTTTCAGTGTGAAATCTCTTGGACGTTCGTCACGCAAAGTTAAAGTATTTGCAAGTTTATTCAAAGCCAAAACAACTAACTGCCGAGAAGTTGTTGCATGTGCAACTAAAAATGTATATGATGTTTCCACATTTTCAAATTTAACTACAATTACTATGTTTCCATCTTTCAAGCGTGATTCTATAGTTTTTGGAATATCTGGAGAAGAAGCTAACCTTGATGGAAATTGATATAAAACTTTCTCTGTCCAAAATTTTTTCTGTCTATCTGATGCAATTTCATCTCCTAATAAACGCATTTTCCAACGAAAGTCATTGACTTCAGAATTTTTTAATGCTGCAAATTCATGTAAACCTTTGCCAATCAGAAGGCCGATTTGAGAATCTAAATTTCTGTCAACTTTCAGATCCTCTTTCTCAATAAGTTTAAATATAGCACAGAAAGGTTTTATATCAGATAAACGTCTACTTTCATCTCTCAACTCTTCTGTTTCTGAATTAGCATTAATACATAAAAATATGTAAGACCGTGAATCTTTCAATAATCCATGTAAAGGATATTTGCTTGATTCATCCCAAAGATCTTCTTTGATTTCTGCTAACGTTGTATTCCGATTAGTCTCAAAGGGAATAATAATACCATTGGGCATCAAACATGTCAGTTCAACAACTTCTGTTGGTGTTTTTGTCCAAAAATTATATGTATAACTACTTGGTACATGAAGCATCATGTTTCTTGCTGGTTTTTCAGAATAAGTTAAATCTAACATTTCAGTACTATTCACCAAATGTTCATTTACTTGTGTAAATAAAGTTTCTTTATCCATTCCTCATTTTTTACATGACATTACCTAAAACACCAAAATAAAAAGTTTTCATTATTATTTTCATAAATCAATTCCTACAGATTGCTCTATTTTTGTTAAATAATTAAGGCAAGTAGTAAAAATCAATTAGAAAAGTTAAAATCCACACACGAATCCATCTGAGCAGTTCTCATTCTTAATATTTGTCAACATTTTTTATTTAGAAAGATTCATGTATGGACGTTGATTTTCCTAACTAATTTTCACCACTTTCCTCAATGAATGTTTTTACAAACTGTAAATGTAAGAAAGTAATCATTTACAATATTAATCATTTATTTCATCGCAATAATGAGTAATCCAATAGTATACATTAATCTTTAAGCAATTAAATAAATATTTTTAATTATATTCAATATATACATATTATCAATTGAATGTTTAATCTGAATTATTACATTATAAATAATATTATAATTCATGTAACCTAAGAAAGAAAATAAATGCCCTTTTAATTTTTATACTATAATAAATAAATATAATATACCTTAACATAAATACAATATCTACTTTTTCTTAAAAACTTTTCTCAACATGAAAAGAAATAGAATTAGAAACGATATTTTAAAAAATTCTATATCTAAATATCGCATATATTATTTCTAATCTAGACATTGAAACAAAAATAATTTCATTTTTTATTAGCTTAAAACACTACCAATACATGGATCTATAATATGTGTACTTCACTCAATGTTTTTCATAGTTAAAGTTAGGATTGAAAACATTTATTTACCTATGAGTAAACTTCTTAAAAGATTGTAATATGATGTATGTATTACCTTGTTTGTATTGCATAGTGATCTATGAGACGATATTTGCCTTCAAGTGTATCAGTAAATCTCTCTAATAAACATCGATTCAATATCATCATCCAAGATAGGAGAACAAGGTTTATTAACCTTTTATTTCTTTTCTTTTTTTTATGTCCCATGCTATTGTAAAAATGCCTTGTTCACTGTACATATAATAAAACCCATCACAAAAATGGCTGCGTTGATGTGGGAAAATCCAATGTGGCGTCAGCAAGTTTCTCGCGCAACCGCATCACGCTTGTATAAATTTAAAAATGGTCGTCGGCGTCGTCTGTAGAAGCAAAGTAATATACGTGTAGATACAGGCTATTTATAAACTACACACATATATATAGCGATAGCGATTCTTATAATTCGTATTTTAATGAGCCTGGGACACGCAAGCTGGACAATGTGAGGGTCAGATTTTTTCAAATTGTACAATTGTTGCTCATTAAAGGTCAGCGTATACCAAAGTTATATATGTTATTTGAAATTATTACCTAATTTGTATGTACAAATATATATATATATATATTAAAAATTCTATATTTAGATAATTCTATTTCTATAATTATAACTTTTTGCAAGGAAAATTGCTTCGAAAAGTACAAATTATTCATACAAACTAACGCAGGTAATTAATAACTATCCACAAAAAAACTAAAGGGTTACTATAGTTATATAGTTCTAATCTTTTATATATCGATAAGACAGATTTTTCAAGTTTAATATTTTGTTGATATACTTTATGGTATTTTTCTGGATGGATATAACATAAATTCATAAAAATAATCATTATATATTTTTAATTTTTAAAGTTATTTTCGACTAAAATTTTTATTTATATTAAAATATAACTTGCAAAAAAGGCAGAAGCACCCACCAATTTTTTAATTTATTCTTTATTATTCGTTTCATTTCATACGTTGAAAACGTTTGACATAAGAAACTAAAAGATTAATATGTAGAAGAAATATAGAAGCAAAATATTATAGAAATTTGATTTCATATTATTCTAGATTAGGTCGTTTATCTTGATTACTTTTATGATATATTTTTATTAAAACAGAATTACGATTTTCGTAAAATCTGACTCGAAGGCTTAAACAAACTGAGTTTACCGAGCTGCTGTAAAAACTAAGCATTTAATATTCATTGTAAAAAATGATTTGCCGTCTTTATGAAAATAGCATAAGAGTATTCTATTACGTTATACAAGATTTCAATTGCATGTGTGTGTGTATCAATATTTCTACTACGAAATTGCAATAACTCGATATAAAAGTGCTTTAAATCTAAGTGTTATAGGTATAATTGATATTATTGTTTATCATAATTTGAATTTAAAAATCATTATAATATATATTCTATTACATCATGCCTACTACCTACAGCCATTGCTTCTTCATCAACATTAAGAGCTCTTAATTAATGGGGTTTCTTCATCAGGAGACAATGAAGGTCGAAGAAGGGACACCGAACGTATATCGAGCTTATCGAAACGATTAAACGTATGGATCTGCTGCATTATCATTATTATTAATGAAGTAATAAATAATTTATGCTACTATCCATTTCCACCATAATACACATCTAACGGCCAATGTCCAACATTTGATGTCTGCTTCTATAGAAACTCTTTAAATTAATCTTGTGAAATTATAAAGCAAAGAAATACAAGAGATACCCAATACTATAAACAAAAACTATCTCAACTCAATTTATTTTCGACAACGTTTCGATGGTTTGTCTTCCAGCTGCACCAGGTCCTTTATTCAAAAATTAAATCAATTGGTTGTACAAACATGATGACAATTTTACAATAAAAATGGTATCAAATTGAATAACAAAAAACACATACTAACGCAACTGACGAATTTTTCAAGATTACATTATCGATTGCTGTAAGTCAACAAAAAATTTATTGTAAATTTTGTTAAATAAAATAAACAATATAGTCAAGTTTACTAGTCATAATGAAATACATAGCAATCACAAAAAGCAATGCAAAATACGAGCGAGAAGTTACACGACATAAGTCATACTGAAAAACAGTGAGAAAAACATGAACAGAATACAAAAATAATCATATTAATATATAAAATTATTAGCAAAGCCTATTTTCAATAAAACAAGGATACGATAATATTTTATGTTAATAATTAGAAACGCAAATTTAATTTTAACAGCAAGAAGTGAAGTAGAAAGCATAATTTAATCATAAACAGCCTAAGGAAAAATTGGTTATAACTGGAAATCAATGATTTATGTTTGTACAACCGATTGATATTCATGTTCATATTATAATTACATTAGAAAACATTATAATGCTTTAATTCAGTATAGTCAGTTTTCAGTATAATCAATTAAACAAAAATTGGAGTACTTAAGAAAAAGCAAAAACCATTTATTGTCTCCAATTACAATATCAACGAAAAATGGTTCAAGAATTTTTCTGATGTTCACATTCCGTGTAGAGTAATCAAAGTTATATCCATAGGTGAAAATTTTAATGTCTTCTCTTTCAAAATCAGATATTGTCAATACAATTAAGAATTTGGAAGTTAGCTTAAAAAATTATTATCTCAGTGAACAATACAATAGTATTTTTAAACTTCTTAAATAGATTTATTGTTATTGGTTATCTAATATCGTATTTTCTCATAAGATATTCTTATATGAAATATTTTCGTATCCTTGTTTTATTGAAAATAGGCTTTGCTAATAATTCCATATATTAATATGATTATTTTTATATTCTGTTCATGTTCTTCTCATTGTTTCTCAGTATGACTTGTGTCGTGTAACTTCTCGCTCGTATTTTGTATTGCGTTTTTTGATTGCTATGTATTGTATTATGACTAGTAAACTTGACTATATTGTTTATTTTATTTAACAAAATTTACAATAAATTTTTTGTTAACTTATAGCAATCGATAATGTAACCTTGAAAAATTCGTCAGTTGCGTTAGTATGTGATTTTTGTTATTCGATTTGATACCATTTTTATTGTAAAATTGTCATCATGTTTGTACAACCGATTGATTTATTTTTTGAATAAAGGACCTGGTGAAGCTGGAAGACAAACCATCGAAACGTTGTCGAAAATAAATTGAGTTAAGATAGTTTTTGTTTATAGTATATTCTCTCGTATTTCTTTGCTTTGTAATTTTGCAAGATTTTATGTGATTGAGAGTAATAATATAGTTAATTATCCTTAAATTAATTAATATTATTAATTATTGATATCATAAATTAATAATATCAATCCAGTCTATAAATTGATTTCTGTGAAGATTATACAATTAAAAATTCATATTCATAATAGATTCACAATTATCGGAAGCACGCCGTAGCTTGAACGCGCACTTGAAAGTCCAACAATGAACTTGATTAACGTAGCGAATCTCGCTAATAAAAAATTCTATAACAGCCGCAGTACCAATCATTAATATGAGTGCGTGTGATTTAAAGAATATTCGTGATATTTTACCTTGAAATTTTTTCTCCGAAATTAGTGAACTGTATTTGTCAGATATAGCAAACAATTACTTTTCATTACTGGATTTATCGATTATATTTATCGAAAGTAAATAAGCTTTACAATATCTTCGTACAAATAAATATTTGAACGAACGATGAGTAGGCATTAATCGTATATATATTCATAGCTGCTGAATAAGCTACGTATAAAATTCGTTATATATAAAAATTAGAAATACTTAAAGGCGACGATCCGCTGAAAAAAAACTAATTCGATGAAGGACAATGGAGAAGAAAAGCTCGCAATTCCGCAGCGAGCTTTCAGAGAAAATCATAGGAAATTGTAGAAAGGTTCGTCGGCGTATATAATCATTGATCACATCCGAATGGATCTGCAAGGAAATGCTTAACGAAGCGGCTGATTGCATCGACGCCATGGGCTGGTTTCTGCGCATCGTGGCGAACAGTCAAGAGACTGCCAGCGAGGAATCAATCGTTTCCTCCCTAGCGGCGCTCGCGGCTCCGAAGGGGTGGCCTTTGCAATGCATGCGATAGCGCGCAGCTGCCATCGACGTTCACTGCACCCACGCTGACCGCTCGGCGCCCCCGATCCCCTGAATTCGGGGCTTGCTTCGGCTGCTTCTACGCGTTCGCATTCCGATGCTGCCCGATCATTTTAGCTTGGTCGCTTGGTCACTTGGCATGTGCTTTCAGTCATGCCTCAGTCGTGCTTGTTATACTGCCGTATAGCAAAGCTTCAGTTCGAGCAGGATACCTCAGCTTTCTATAGAAACACACAAAAATACTTTTACCACGCAATATTTCCGAGATGTACGCATCGTAAATTTTAGCGATGGAATTTAAAAGAAATATTTTAAAATGTTTATAGTGTTACTATAGATAATTGAAGACGCACTATAGTACAGCTTAACAAATAAAATGCTTGTCAAATAAGTTGTAAGATTACTATTTGACTTGAAACTATAACGCGGATAAAAAGTGCTTGCGGTCAGGTAGATGAGAAGCAAATCAAAGAATAATCAGATCTACGTGATATTTCAAATTTTGTCATGTGATAATAAGCGCGTTTACGCCAGATTTGATATAAAAGATTATCTTGAATAGTACAATATTGTACATGGCGTGTCGCCATGTACAATAGACATAAGTGAGAATATTTGATGGAGCAAGGGAATATGAAACGGAGGAAGAGCTGAAATGCGTCCATCAATCGTGTACTGTCTCTGCATTAGTAATCCATTTGTTTTGCAATCGCTAATGTACCCACAGGAATACAGGTGATTTGCATTTGAGAGAAGGATATATTTGCATGACTAGCTCCCTCATTGCTCGCTTACTCCGCAGTGATATCTCTCGTTACAGAAATGTTACGCGTCGTCGTAGTAACATCAAGTAAACGTGGCAATAATTTGGCAATACCAATGCAGACGAATAGCAGTGTGGAAACACACCGGGCAGCCAATTCAAGAAAGTGCTTTTTCCATAGCATTTCAACGAAACTATAGGAAACATAATGTCAAACCATTTTCATTTGCTACACACAATCAATATCGCACCTAGGCACGACCAGAGATGATACTTAAGGTTTAATAAAGCGATATCTAGCTAATACGATAATTCGAAAGTAATTTAAATGGCGCGATATTCCAGAAAGGCATGAAATTAATGGAAATTAGCGAAACAAGGTAGACGTGAGCGACGC